AAAACCCCCATGAAGCCACCAAGCCCTAAATAAAGTGCGCCCTGAAAAAAGTTAAGGACTTTAATTGGTTCCAATAATCTTTAAGCTTTTCTTAATTGGTTCCTTCCAAACTCACTCTCTTTTACCAAAACGTAGAAACCTTTTGATAACAATTCTTTATAAACACCCTATTTAGAACCTATTAAAAATCATCAAAACCATTCTGGAAAGGGTTTTCCCCATAAAGCCACCAAACCCTAAATATAGCGCACGCTAAATATAGCTAAGGCTTATCTACCACAAAAAGAAATCAATTCCAATTCAATTGAATTCAAACTCAATTCTAATTCAGCTCAAAATTCAACTTCAATTCAAATTCAATTCAATTGAATTTAAATTCAAATTCTTTCCAATTGAATTTAAATTCAATTCTAATTCAACTCAAATGAAATTGAACTCAAGTTAAATTCAATTTCAATTCAAATTCAATTCCAATTCATTTCTACTTTGAATACTAATTCACCTTTATTTCAAAGGTCAACATTAAGTTCACATGTTCGATGCATTGATGTAAATCTTCAAAGTTTTGAAATTTACCTACACCGCGTTTTTACCTAAATTCATTTACTGTAGGTGTCAAAAGCACACCAAAAACAGCATAAACGCATAGAAAACACCAAAAAAATGCAACAACATGCAGAAGGACATTGGACAGTCGCCCCGGTAGAAAGCAAAAACACCGGAAACATCAGAAGAACTGAACAAAACTCTCAAGAAATGTTTTAACATGCAACGTGCTGAAGGACATTGGAAAACCCCCCCGGGAACTGCAGCAAGTTCCTTAAAAAGAAGTGCCTCAGTAAAACGCGTTGCCATTGTACATTGGAAAGGGCCCCGTCAGTGGGAAAGGCGCCTAAACGCGAGAACTACAACCTTTCCAACTGGCCAGTGCACTGTGGGCCCCCCTTCAAAGCACCACTCCACATGAGGATTGACAAACTTGGACAACTTGAAGGTGAAGCGCGTCTTTGAGGTCATGTTGAACAGCGCCACCCCCCCAAGTGACTGGTGAGCTTATCATTTCTTAAGGTGGTCAGGGTGCTTTGATCCTGGTGACAATCTTGGGGCAGCTTTGATTGGGAGGGTGATTTTAAGGGAGATTGTTTTAGATGGTTTTTTTTGCGGTTAGGTGGGTTTGGTGGCTGTTGGCAGCGGCTTTTGTGGTTCCTGAATGGTGGATTTTGGCTCCTGTGGACTTTGGCCCTCACTTTGAGAATGGGGCTCAGCTTTGTCTAGGGCAAACTGGTCCATACAGAGGCACCAGCAGCAAAACAATGGAAAACAGTTCTATCGCGATGCTTCTTCAATCGAAATCTTTACTTTTTGCGACATCAACTATTGTACTAATATTGAAATCTCAATAGGGCACCTTATAAAATCACTATGTTCTACCACGTTGATATTGAACATTGAACTCTCTCTTTTGATGGGGGAAGGCGCTGCACTATACGTTGTGTTCGTTGATGATTTTCTAGTCTACTAAATTCTCTGCGCTCAACGACTTTGCTAGTCAAAATCTCTACTTTTGATGCCTTTCCCCTACTGAAACATGCTTGATGAATTGTCTACTGATTTTTCTGCTCTTGATGACTTTACTAGTCACAATCTCTCATTTTGACCCATTACGATCGCTAGTGTTGATAACTTTTTCTGTTAAAATCGCTATTTTCTGGCTGTTATATTGAAATATCTCCCTTGGTGAGTTTTCTATTGCATTCTTTGCTTTTGACTCTTCTAGACGAAAACTCTAGCTGCAACGCCTTCCCCATTGAGAACCACACAGACCACCAAAAAACAAACAAAACAAGTTAAAAGTTAAAAGTAATTCCGATTAAAGTCCCGACCCCTTTGATTGACACAATGGATAGGCTTTCAAGTAAACCATTGGTTTGGTGTCTAGTGGAGTTTTGATGTGAGAGCATATGGACTTGGGCATTCATAGATTCATTTACGCAAAAATAGATTGATTTGAGAATTCATGGGTTTACTTACGCCATGTTTTCGTGTACCTGAGTCCTTGAAGTTGCAAATACTTCGGCAGAAAGAACATTTATATACTTGAGCGCTGAAGAAACAGCACCGGCACCCAGCACCAGCACGGGCACCCGGCACCAGCACCAGCAACCTGTCTCCACCGCGTGCACAGCCAGCTCACAGCCGGCACCAGCAACCTGTCTCGAAAGCGCGCGCGGGCAACTCATTGTCATTTGAAGTAAGAACCCCATAGCTTCGCTACCTGGTGAAAAACTTCAATGTAAATGCTTAACTGTTCCATCATTTTCCCCGACTTCAAAAAGAAGCAACCTAAACTAGTTTAGGCTACACCTTGTTAAATTGTTTAGGTCATACACAAAAATTGGCTTAAACTAATCTACCGCATGTCTTATCCAAATGTCTTCTTACATCTCAAGAAACATCGATGAGCGCTAATTTCGCAGACTCAGGGCAAGGCTACCGAAAATACTATTCCCGATGGCTTGCGCGCGTTCGCGGCCGACTTGTTTTTTTCCCTCTGCTCGCTCCTGCCATTCCGATTTTAGCAAGAACTTAGACAACAGCTTCTCGGAATGTGCTGTAGCATGTGGCGTCGGTGATTTTGATTCGGGCTGCGAATGCTGGTTGGCCTCTTGCGCTCACTCCCGCCTCTTTTGATCCTCTGTCGCGAAGCTGGTTTTGCGCTTAAGAGTGGAAGGATGTCAACTTTAAAGAGTTCTTTCTTCAGTGTCGATGACTGCATGACGATAGTTGCTCGGATGCGCGACTAAGTCTGGATCGTCCTGAGTAGTCTCTGAAATCGGCTGTTGGATCGATTAAGCTGTTCCAGTGCCGTGTCAAATTCAACTCATCCCCAGACATTTTCCTAAACCTAGGGCCTGGCGGTTTGGCCTTCTTCTTCGGTGTTTCCTTTTTTATGGAGAACGCCGGCTGATCATAGGTGTTGAGGCCTTTCTCTTTGCGGCCTGAAGTGCACTCCTGGTCGCCTTGACAACCCAAGCGTGCGGATGGCTGCAGAGACCTTTTGCATGGTCAAGGCTCCGCCTGCTTCCGCCCCAGAACAAGTTTTTTGTCTTCCGACAAGGGGCGTTACTAAACTTTACGTGCCCACCTGTCAGTCCAGGCAACACGCGGTTCTCTGGCCAGGCTCTGAGAAATCAACCCCAGCCCTAAACGTTGGCACCAGCTGCGCTAACAGCGCGCTCACTGATGTATCTCAGGGTCCCGATATTGATCTAGATGCGATCCCACAGAGCTCCGACTACCAATTTCAAAGGGAGGCCTCCGGCCTCCTTTAAACCTAGTGGCTTGAAGATCAAAGGACCCTCGTCGAAGTGTTCTCACTTCCACCGTAGCCTGATCAATCGCCCAGACTCGAGTCTTTCCACTCCACCTGCTCGGGTTGTCCTGTGTCGGCGCTCGGCCCTGCGTAGGGCAGCCCCTGATGCTGCGGGACACTTTTTGTAGGACACTCTCGCGGGAGACATTCTTGTAGAAGACACTCTTGCGCAAAGCTCTTGTGGGACACTCTAGCGGGGCACTCTTGTAGGATACGCTCTTGTAGAACACTCTTGTGGGGGACTCTCACGCGACACTCTTGTAGGAGACCCTCGCGGGACATTCTTGTAGGACACTCTTGTAGAAAACTTTGAAACACTTGTAGGACACTCTTGTGGGGCATGCTTGCAGGACTCTTGTGGGACACTCTTAGGGAACTCTTGCGGGGCGCTCTCTCCTGTCTTACGGGACACTCTGCAGGACACTCTTGTGGGAGATTCTTGTACGGCGCTCTTGTGGGAAACCCTTGTGGGGTATTCTCACGCAACACTCTTGTGGTCTGCCACGGACTAAACACAACAATGTAACATCAAGGAAGCCTCATGGACACCGCCAATTGTCCCGCTCCCAGCAACATGCCGAATTTAGGCCAGCGCGTATTCCTTCCCCCAGCAGTTTCTGAGGCCGCAGTTCCCAGAAGCTGCGTCCCCCAGAAGTTGCTTCCAGCGCTGCATCTGTACTACCAAGTGGCCAGTTCTGATGCCACAGCTCCACAGCGCCCAGAAGCAAAAGTATCGAAAACAAGCGTTGCGTGCGACGCGTCAAGTCTGTAGAACAAGCGTGTTGCACGAGATTTTCCTCCGAAAGGCGCGCGCCAAGTCTCCAAGCGTTTCGTTCGAGATTCCCTCGTTACACGCTTTTCCCAAACGAGCGCTTCGCGCGAGACTTCCTCCAAAACTTCAAAAACAAGCGTTTCGCACGAGACTCCGAAAAGTCAGACCTCCTTCAAAGGTGAAGCAGGAAGTCTCATCAGTGCAAACACACTCTGGGGCCCTGCCAAGCAGCTCACCAATCCCAATGTCACAGCAACATTCACCTCCACCAAACATGGCAACCTCACGACCCCTCGCGCCTGCCACGACAATTCAATTTCGACACCTTCAACATGTACAAAGCACTGCGCCTGCCACGGAAAGTGACGATACGCCATGTTCAATCATGTTCATGTCTTCCGTAAAAAAGATACCGACACGTTCTCAGCATACTCCCATCCACCAAAACGGCCGTTTTAGCTGAGACTTAGTCACGAAAACAAAGCTTCCAAGCAACAGCCTCAAGCGCAAATCCCAATGTTACAGCCACCATCACCTCAAAAACACGCACCTGCGCAGAAAAATCACCCTCCACACTTCATCCTGCTAGGTTTCCATACGCTTCCTCGCTATTTCACCCGAATCTGACACGTCATGCTGCCATCCAAAAGCTTCACCCAATGTCAGCGCCACCGCGAACGTTTGCAGACGGCTGCAAACACACGACAACGAGTCGCGAACAAGAGCCCCGAGACCCCCAGAGTTAAACGAGAACCCTTCACTACGCATTCGGAAAAAATAGTTGCACTTGAAAGATGCACACATACACATGCGCGTGTAGTTTGGCCACGTGGCCTTTGGCAAGTTGTCTCCCAGGCCCTGATCCCAGCAGCTGTAGCTGTGGACACCTTTACCGCGAACCGACACATGAACTGCGAAGCGCTTTGATGTTGTGATGTGTCCCGTGTCCTTCCCTTATGCGGGGCACACTTGAAGCCGCTGAAAGGTCAGATAAGATTTGCATCATCTCCACGGACCCCGGGGATGACAGGCTGATGTTTTTCTTGGCCTTATGTTTCATGTATGCTGTGCTTTCCTTGCCTCGGCCGTGCTGTTTTGCAAGGAACCCGCCGTTTAGAGTAGCAGTTTCATGGCTTCACGGATTCATTTGTTTGCGGCCAATCTTGCATCAAGCTGATTCGTGCTTTCGACTGAAGTTTCCTGCTGGAAAGAATGCCGTGTGGAGCTTGGGCGCTGCACTCTTTTTGATGGACCATGCGTATGGGTTTGCGCAATGGTTTTCTATGATATGTGATGCACATCGTTGTGGGATTTGTTTGTCCTGTCAAATTGAGGCGCCTTATGGCACAAGCGCCACCAACGCCCATGATCAAGCCGCTGCGGGCAGGCACCTGCGCAAACTTGAACGACACTACGCAAGTACGAAGTGCAAAGATGCATAGTACTGGTGCTGCGGTTTGCTGTTGGCTGTTGGTTCCGTGGTGCTCCGATACTTCGAAACGCTAAACTGAGAAAGGCTCAGTAAGTCAAAGGCCCCCGGACAGCCTCAGAGTCTGCGCAATTTGAGGGGATGTGAAAGTGGATGATTTCCTACTGCCTCCGCCAGCACTGGAGCCTTGGGAGCAACTTGGAAGAAGAAGAAGAACTCAACTGAAATTCCGTTTCAATTGTTCTACATGTTTTTACATTTGAATTTTGATGAAGCCACTGGTATACCCCTTGGAGTAACCCCTATAGAATGGGGGAGGTCGAGCTCCAAAATGACCTAGCATTTTATAGAGAAGTTCTATAGAATCAAAAGTCAACCTACCTGAAAAAGATCCATTCTGAGGATATCTGACGTGAGAGAATCATATGTTGATGGATCACTAGGTTGACCACCCTCATTTTATAGAGAATATATGAAAATTGAGGGCATTTTATAGAGGACAGAGGTTTTGATTCTATAGAGAGAACCTGGAGCAGTAGAAGGTTGAGAGTTTATTTTAGCGTGGATGGATGTTTTACAGTGAGGTAGGTTGGATTCTCATTCTATAGAAAGCACTTGAATTTGTGGAGTCTTGAGTTTTGAGTTTATAGTCTCAGAAGCTTCGAAAAGTAGAAGGTTGAGAGTGTATTTTAGAGTGGATGGATGTTTTACAGTGAGGTAGGTTGAGTGGTTTATTTTAGAGTGCCTGGGTGGTCCACAGCACCCAGGACCACTATAAAATGAAAAACCAACCTC